AAGGCGCTGGCTTCAATCCTTAGTACCAAGAAAAGGCAGCAGGAATCCAGGCAAGTGAGTGGGTTAGGGTTAGGAGTTAGGGGTTAGGGTTAGGGTTAGGGTTAGGAGTTAGGGGTTAGGGTTAGGGTTAGGGTTAGGGTTAGCAGTTAGGAGTTAGGGGTTAGGGTTAGGAGTTAGGAGTTAGGGCTTAGGGTTAGGAGTTAGGAGTTAGGGGTTAGGGGTTAGGGTTAGGGTTAGGCCAGTGTTCGTGAACCCATTGAATGCATGCCAGGGCCAGCTGTTTGTTATCACTGAAATCTCTGAAAGGTTCTCCATCCCTGGGTTAGGGCAGTGGGATGGTGTGAGATGAGCTTGTCTCTGGGGACATGCTGGGAAAGTCCTGGTCGCTGCCCTGAGGAGTCCGGGCACTGTTAGAGGAAGGGACTGCGGAACTTCCGACTGCAGGGCAATCACGTGCGTGGGCAGGCTGCACTGGAGGGCCTCCTGGAAGCATGGGCAGGGCGACAACAGCGATATCAGACGTCTCGCGGAGGAGAGAAGAGGAGGCCGCCAGACCAGAGAGGCAGAGGACAGCGGGGGTCAGACAGAGAAGTGAGGGTACTTAGCTGGGTGGGGGAGGGGAAGGAGGGAGGCTCTGCTGGTGACTCTGATGCCCTGGTAGACGGAGCCTGCCACAGAGGGCGTGCCCACCCCTGCTGTCCCTTGCCCAAGCTCGAGGTGCCCAAGCCTTGATGCCCACTTCTCTCCTCTCCCTCACCTCCGCCACCCTCTGCCTAGGCTCCATCCCCGCGCCTCTTTCCCTTGTGACTGCTGTCAGTTGTCCCTGTTGGGGGTGTACACGTTTGTGCACACCTGGGTTGCTGGCCCCGCATGCGACCTGTGCATTTGCTCCCTCTGGTAGCCTCAGGGCCACCGGGCTCAGTGCTGGGCACTGCACTCACAGGCTGAGGTCAGACACAGCCGCAGGTGGCTCCCGGAGCTAGTGATAGAGCATAGAAAAAGGAAAAGGTTCCAGGAGATGAAGGGTGTGTAGGGGGAGGACAGCCGGGGCAGAAGGCAGCTCGTCCTGCTAACCAGTGAGTGTGCGCTTTGTAATCCACAGCACAGGCTTCACAGCTGTCACCTTTCACTGTCTGCTCCAGAAAAGTCAGCAACCAAAAAAAAGAAAAAAGAAAAAAAGAAAAGCAACCAAGGTGGGAAGGTTCGGCCAAGGCAGGAAGTTTGGCCTAACCTGCTGGCAAATAGACCGTAGTGAGCGCGTTACACCCGTGAGCATGCACAGCTCGCTGAAGGGTGACCGACCAGGGATGCCGCCTTCTGGCACTGAATTCCTAGAAACCGATGCCAAGGTCTGTCACTTGCCTCAGCACAGTGGGATCTTGTACCTTCCAGGGCTCTGCTACATGCTGCAGACTGGGGCTAGGGATTTAGCTCAGCGGCACAGTGCCTGCCTGGCAAGCACAAGGTCGTGAGTTCGATTCCCAGTACCGGAAAATAAATAAATAAATAAATAAATAAATGAATGAAGCTGCAGACCACCATAGGCCTTACTCCTGCACAGTCCAGCAATCCCCAAAGATGCTCTTATTAGCTTAAACGCACTCACTACTTGCCTAATTATTTCCTCTGGCAAATAACGACCAACAGGAGATCACGTTATGGTACGCAAAGATCAAGTAAACATAACGAAAACTCGAATCTAACAAATGCCATAAGAGAAGCCAATGAGCAACGTGCAGGCCTTAGGACACTCCTGACCAAATGGCCAAGTGTGTCCAATGAAACAACAGAACAAGGGATCCATACAGGAGAAGGGACTTCAGCAACATAATAACTGTGATATTCCACAGAATTTGGTTGGATTCTTAGACAAAACTACTTCTTTGCTGGGCTGGTGGGACACGCCTGTAATCCCAGCACTTGGGAGGCTGAGGCAGGAAGATCACTGTGAGTTTGAGGCCACCTTAGCTACATAGTGAATTCCAGTCCAGCCTGAACCACATGAAACCCTGTCTCAAAAAACAAAGCAAAACAAAACAACACAAAAAACCAAGCAACTTCTCTCTTTAAATTTTGAGATAAGATCTTGCTAAATTGCCCAGAAACTCATGACCCTCCTGCCTCAGGAGGGTCTGGGATTACAGGCATGGTGGTGCAAGTCCAGCTCAGATAAAACAGCTTTTTAAAAAAGGGAATTATAGGCTCATCAGAGGCGTGTTAATATGGACTAGAATTACGATGGAATTAAGGACATTTTTTTGAAGTGTGAAGATAATGTGATTATGTTTAAAAGGAAGTCCTAATCTTTTGTACATACACAATGAAACATTTATAGATGGCAAAATATGAAACAAAAGCTGGGCGTTGTGGCACACGCCTATAATCCCAGTGTTTGGGAGGCTGAAGCAGGAGGATTGCCATGAGTTTAAGCCTGGCGTACATGGTGAGTTCTAGGCCACCCTGAAGTACATAGCAAGACCCTGTCTCAAAAAACAAATAACAACAACAATAATAATAATTAAGGGGGGATGGGAAGGGTTTTAGAAGAAACAAGACTGTCAGTTAGTAACTGTTGACACTGGGTGGTAAGTATATGAGTTTTTGTAACACTCTTTCCACTTTATTGCACTGGAAATTTTCAAAAAGTTAGAAAGTATATCTGATTAACAAGAAAATCAAAAGTACCTAAATTGATGTTAAATAAATGTTACTGTCCATAGCACCTAAGTATTTCTTCATTTTTCAAGACCTCTATAAGAGAGCAGCCCTGACTCAGGTCTTTCACTGACAGCAAGATGCTGTTCTAGTACAAATCTCTTTCTTTCCTGCATGACAGGCACTTACCTGTGAGGCTCTGGGATACATAGCACTTCGCAGGGATGCTCGCAGGCTCCGCTGCCTCCAAATGTCAGAAGGAGGCCCGCAAGCCCAAGCTGGCAACGCCAGGGCCTTGCAGCCTTCCTACTGCCAGGCCTCCTGGGGACCACCTACCTCGGCCGGCAGCTGTTGTGGGGGGGATGCAAGGACTGTCAACCTCGGCCTGACCCTGTCCACTGTGCTCAGGCCTCCCCCAACACCCAGGCCAGCTGGGTCACCTGCCAATTTTTGCCCTCCACTGCATCTTTCTCTTTGGAAAGTTTACACTAGTGAACTTCAAGCATTCAGAATCTTCCAATCTACTGGACTCTTGCAAAAACCTACTGATGGGCAAAAAGGATGTCCCTGAGGGGGTTAATGACATTCAGTTCCACGCTCACTACCACCCATCCATTTGCTGTTCACCTCACTCTGGCTGTGACTCCCAAACCCAAGAAACCCCCTTGGCTTATGAACTTAATTTCAGTGGGACAGGCTCAGCTACTGAGAAACTTCGGAGAAGCAGGTCAGATCCCCCACCCCCACCCCTAGCAAAATAAATCAGCTCTAAAAGCTTTGGCTAAATCAACATTTCCTAAGAGAGCAGCTACTGCTTTCTTCCACATGACCTGGAGGAGATCATTATTATGTTTCACTCGCCGCACCGCCCTTGGAGCAGGGGGGCGGGGGGCAAAACCAAAAGCCCCACCTATCTTACCTATGAAACAGAACGAATGAAAAACGCCAGCCTAAGCCCTGCTGTGTTTCAGCGGCGGGTTTCCGTTGGGTGCACATGCACAGCGCACACACACGCGGTGCACACATGCACACACATCGTGCACACACACGGTGCATACACGCACGCAGCACACACGCGAGACTACCCCGCCCCGCGCGGAATTTGCCACCACACGGTGTGACCTGTGCTGACTCAGCAAAAGAATAATCACGTCAACCCGGAAATTTATGTGCGTTTTGGTTTTTGCATTTTAAAAAATGCTTAGGAAACGGAGGGCAGGGGGACGGGGACATTGGGATGAGTCTTAAATTCCGGTTTAATTCCACAACTTGGGTTTCCTCCTAGCTTTGCCTGCAGGGACGTGCAGGTGCACGGGGACTTTTCCAGGGACAGCTCTTGAGCCGATCAGCATCCCCACCAAGAGCGAGGGAGGCTGGGAACGGGGTGTGGACGGGGTGGGGAGACCGGAGGCGCGGGCGGCGGAGGCCCGGCGCGGGCTGCGCGGTCAGGGACCCAGCTGTCCCCCGGGCGGCGCGGCCACTTCCGGCGACAGCGCCCCCCACCGCCCCGCGGGTCGCGCCGCCTCCCGCCGCCGTGCTGAGGGTGGGAGCCGGGCCGGGGTCTCAGTGAGAAGCCCTGCTAGGAGGATGGAGTCCGCGTGGGGCCCCAGGGGACCCCAGGGACCAGGGCGCAGCCTCGCCCGCCCTGCCCCCACCCTCCCCGCGGCGACACCGGCCACACACTCGGCGATTGGGGCCCGGTGCAGGGAGGAGCCCGTCGCTCCCTCCGCGGGGACCCCGAGCCCCAGCCGCCGCAGGGGCCCCGAGCCCGGGCCGCGCCGAGCCCCGTGGATGGGGGAGGGCGGGAAGGGCAGGTTACCGGGCGGCAGGCGGTGGGGGAAGGGAAGGGAAGCACCGCAGGCATGCAAGCCGCTCCCCAGCCAGCTGTTCCAGCTGTCGCTTCCTCCGGCGCGGGCCGGGAGGTGCAATGCCCCCCCTCCATCTTCCTCACCACTGCCTGTCCCCCCACCCGGCACAAGCACACCATTGCTCCCCACCGCCCAGGAGCCGATCTCCGGCCTGTAAAGGGGTAGTGGGGAGGAGCTGGGGGGAGGGGGAGGCCTGCGAGTTTCTAACCTTGTTCTTATAAACAAACCCACATGTGCAGCTGCCGCTGCTGCAACTCACCCCACAATCCCGGATATAAGTCCTGCCCCTTTAAGAAGAAAAAAAGCTTCCCCCGCCCGCCTCCCACCCCACCCATCCACAAGGACCTTTGTCTCCCCACCCCCCTTGTCTGTCGGCCCAGCCCTACTGCCACGCCCCTCCGGCGCGGAGGAACCAATAGATGAAGAGGATAAGCCCCAGGGCTGACGTCAGCGCTGTAGGCCAATCACAGCGCGCGTTGGTGGGCGGTGTCGCGGAGGGCGCGCCCCAAGGAAGGGAGAAAGGAAGGAAGGAAGGGTGGGGAGAGGAAGCTGGAATTCAACATGGAGGTTGCAGACTGTTCCTCCGCCGCTGTGGGGAACGGGGACGTGGGGTCCGTGGGGTCCCAACGAGACTTGAGCCTGGTGCCCCAGAGGCTTCAAAAACGCGAGCAAGAGCGGCAGTTGGAGGTGGAAAAGCGGAAGCAGAAGCGGCAGGACCAGGCGGCGGAAGAGGAGCAGAGCGACTTCTTCGCCTCCGCCTTCTCCCGGGAGCGTGCGGCGGTACAGGGGCTGCTGGAAGGCGAGTCGTCGGCGGAGCGGCTGGAGGAGGCGGCGGCCCGGCTGCAGGGGATGCAGAAGCTGCTTAACGACGCGGTGAGGTTCCTGGCCCCCTACGACCAGCGGCAGAGCCAGGAGGCCCTGACGCAGCTGCAGACGGCCCTGGCCGGGCGGCGCCAAGAGCTGCAGCCCAGGAAGCACTTCGCCTTCAAGGCGCGGAAGAAGGACGCTGCCTCGGCCTCCCAGGGAGGCGCAGCTGCCGTCGCCCCGGCGGCTGAAGGCATCGCCGCCCCTTCGATGCCCTTGGAGGAGGCCGGAGCTCCCGGGCTCAGCTGGGCCTGCGGCTTCTCCCACCGCGACTCCCAGGTCTTGGAGAAGAGAGCGGACGAGCTGCGCCAGCGCGACGTCCTCCTGAGCGATCTGAGCAGCTGCACGGTCCGGCTGTACGGCAACCCCAACACCGTGCGGCTGGCCAGGGCCCGCGGCTGCAAGGTGCTCTGCGGCCCCGTGTCCACCTCCGTGTTCCTGGAGGACTGCAGTGACTGCGTGCTGGCCGTGGCCTGCCAACAGCTCCGCGTGCACACGACCAGGGACACCCGCATCTTCCTGCAGGTCACCAGCAGAGCCATCGTAGAAGACTGCAGCGGGATCCGCCTTGCCCCTTATACCTGGAGCTACCAGGGCATCGACAGGGACTTCCAGGGCTCTGGTTTAGACAGGAACAAAAATAACTGGAGCGAAGTCGACGATTTCAACTGGCTGGCACGGGATGTGGCCTCCCCAAACTGGAGTATTCTTCCAGAAGAGGAGCGAGAGATCGAGTGGGACTGAGCCGGTGTCCCCTCTGTTCCCCTCTCCTAGCGATGCTTTCCTGGTGGGAAGGAGGTCGGCCGCTGTAGCCGCAGAGTTGTGTGTTTTCAGTATTTCAGGCTTGAGGCGGTGATAGGCTCCTCCTTGGGATGGCCATTAAATTCGTGATACCCAACACGCCATTTTGGGAATGTCTACCAACGTTTCTTTGACTCTGATCATTTGAAGCATAAGGGGAAACAAGTGCAGACGTGTTGGTTTTGAGCGGTATGTGGTACTTAAAATTGACCACAGCGCGAGGTAAAATAGGTCTTCAATAAATATTTAACACGGTAAAAAAAATACTTAACAAGCAAAGTCAGTTGGGCTGTAGGAACAGCCCGTTGATACGAGAGTATGGTACCAAACCTGCGCAAAAACAACATTCACAGAAGTTTCTTTTTTCAATAAAGGTTTGACTTACATAAACATTTCCCAGCAGGCCAATAAAAAAACTCGTCTTCGGTCTTTAGCTACACATTAGCCTGGGCTTCCGGAATCCAGTGTTGGGTGGAATGTTTTGAATGGATCCCAAGTGGCCTATCAGTCCTACCAACTATAAAGCCCAAACAGTTATAGTAGCTGCTATCTTTTGTCCACTTCCAAGTGCCACAGTGTTCTGAGCCCCTTATTCATGTTAACTTTTTTTTTGTATAGGGAATCAAACTCTGGACCTTGCCGGGAGTGGTGACACACTCCTGTCATCCCAGCACTCAGGAGGCTGAGGCAGGAGGATCACTGTGAGTTCGATATGAGCCTGGCCTACAAAGTGAGCTCAAAGCCAGTCCGAACTGCATAGCCAGACCCTGTCTCAAAAAGAAAAAAAAAAAAAAAAAAAAAACAACTCCAGACCTTGCACTTGCCAGAGGGGGTTGTGCCACTGAACTATAAGCCCGGCCCTTCATATTAACTTATTAAGTCCTCACTCAGAATGTTGGGATTGGTAATTCCTGTTAGCACCATTTTTCAAGTGAGAAAACAGGTAAATAATTTGCCCAAAATCACACGGCTCTAGGGGTGGGAAGGAATTGAAACCATGCAGTCTGGCTCCAAGCCACTTTGTTAATCACTAGTGCACATCGACTTGGCAGTGTCAGCTGAGTTGGGAAGAAAGCTGTCAAACAGGGCAAATTGTATTATGCTGCTGGGTATCCTCTTACAAAAAGAAGTTGAGACATCCAGCTGAGTTAATTATCCCATTCATTTTACTATAACATTAAAATTTTGCCTTTCAGCTCTCTAAACCCAGCATCCTCAAATGGAATGTTGCAAGGTAATTTTTAAAAGCTTTTTTGGAAAAAAAAGGGGGAGCTGTATAGCTCAGTGGTAGAGCACTTGTGTGGCGTACACCAGGCCCTGGGTGCCATCGCCAGCACCACAAAGCAAAACAAACATGAGCCGGGCAATGGTAAGCATTTGGAGACTGAAAAAAAAAAAAAAAAAAAAGCATTTGGAGGCTGAAACAGGAGGACTTCCTTGAGTTGAAGACCACCCTGGGCTACATAGGGAGACCTTATCTTCAAAAGAAGAAATATTTTGGGGTCTTGTAGCCTTATAACTGCAAATGTGCCTTTTCTTTAATAGTAACTTCAGCTTGTTTTTTGTCTTTTTGAGATAGGGTCTCGCTATGCAGTTCAGGCTGGCCTTGAGTTTACTTTGTAGCCCAGGCTGGCCTGGAACTTGCAATGATCCTCTTGCCTCAGCCTCCTGAGTGCTGTGATTACAGGCAAGTGCCACCATGCCCAGCTAGAAATTATCTTTAATAGAAAGTGAATTCAAGTATTTCTTTTCTTCAACAATTAGTTTTGGAAAAGGATCTGGGCTGGGGATGTGGCTTAGTGGTAGAACCCTTACCAAGTACAAGGCCCTGGGGTTAGAACCCAGCACCACAAATAAAATCTCTTGCATGTTTTACAAACCTGAAATTTGTAAGAGATGATAGAGATCACAGAATCAGGGCATTTTAAACTATAATTAATGCCAGCTAAGCTCAGCTGAGCTTTTACTGTTGCTCAACAAGCCCCGAGTGTTTTTTTCAAAATCTTTCATTTTTTGAAACAAGGCCTCACTATTTAATTCAGGCTGGTCTGAAACTCACTATGTAACCCAAGCTGGTCTCGAACTTGCAGCACTCCTCCTGCTTCAGCCTCCCAGGCGTTGGGATTACAGGCGTGCACCCTCATGCCCTGCTGTTTTCCAGTTCTTTTTGCTAAATAGGCCACTCCTTATCTGCATTCCTGAGCATCATAGCCTTAAACCCAGCACTCTGCCCACCTCACCTAACAAATTATAAGGCATGACTAGCATCCCTTTAGTGCCTCTCATCCAGCTTTGCTGATTTTCCTTTCTAGAGGCAAATTGCCCCTGCCCCAGAGCCAGCCTCTCCTTGTGTGAACTGTCATCTAGTGCGGCCACCAGTCCAGAGTTCTGACTCCCTGGATGAGAGTCCTCCTCGCCGCATCCTCGGGTCTGCACAATCACAGAAGGAAGGCGCTACTGCTGAACCATGGTTCACATTAGGAACCACAGCCATAAACCCAGAGAGACTCTACTTTCCTGTTTTTAACTCCTTCTTAAGTCACTTAAAGTTCACTTACGCTATAGTTCACCATAGTCGCCTTGGTTGGTTATCAACTTGGAGCAGAGCGGTGTCATAAAACGGGAACAGAACAACCATGACAAATTGGGAAGCGGGCTAAAAGTTAAACTGCAACGGTCATTTGGAATTTGGTTGTCTGACCTCCTGGGAGAAGTAAACTTTGTGATAATTGTGTGACATTCTTGTAAGATTCCCAAAGATGAGGTAACGGTTACTACAGAAACCTAAGATGTACTTAAACTGAAGGTGAGACCCAGATTGGCACGGACATCTTCTCTGGCTCCAATAAAGCGTTGTTCGCTCCTGCCTTGTGAGTGCCGTTCTTGATGAGCTCGCTTGCTGTGTGAACCAGGGTCCCAGGGCTGTGCCCCTGAGGCATTCTCATGCTGCCCTTGCCCTACTCTTAGAGACGACCCATTGCCTTCATCCTTTCGTGCTGCTGTCACACAACGCCGTGAACTGGATAGTTTATAAACAACAAAATTTAGTTTCCGAAAGTTCTGGGGGCTGGAGAGGCCAAGATGGAGCTGAGGGAAGAGCCTGTGTTTAGTGGGGGTCCATGGGCTGCTGTCTTCTTGCCACTGCTTCCTTATGTGGCCAGAGGAGCAAGGGGCCGCTCGATAATCTCAGAGTGTTCATGGACTAATGACCCACCGATGCCCACTTCCTGGGGGTCAGGACTTAACTGTGAATTTTGGGAGGGACCCAAGAAGATTCAAGGCTATTTATTCACCCCATAACAAAGCTGCCTATTATGTTCAGTATTTAAATGTGTTCTTCATTACAAAGACTATTTATAGTTCAGCACCTCTCAATTGCATTTCACTGAGGAAGCTGTACATAGTCTGATCGTCAGAACTGACATCAGTGTAGAGGTTTGGTGGCTGGGTTTCTTGGTGTATACCTGCAATCCCAGCACTCTGGGAAGCTGAGGCAGGAGGATTACAAATTTGAGTCCAGCCTGGGCAATTTAGTGACTTAGCAAGACCTTGTCTCAAAATAAAAAATAAAGAGGGGCTGGATTTAATTCCCAGTACCAGGAAAAAAAACCAACAAGTACAGCCCGGGCATGGTGGTGCACTTAGGAGGCTGAGACAGGAGGATTGTTTTGAGTTCGAGGCCAGCCTGCGCTACAAAGTGAGCTCAAGGCCAGCCTGAACTGCACAGCAAGACCCTGTCTCAAAAAGACAAAAAAAAAAAAAAAAAAAAAAAAAATAGAGATTTGATTTAAAATGACGCTATGAGTCAGGTGTGGTGCAGACCTGTAATCTCAGCATTCAAGAGGCTGAGGCAGGAGGATCACTGTAAATTCGAGGCCAGCCTGGATTATATAGTGAGACCCTGTCTCAAAAGAAAGAAAAAAAGATGACTGTACAATGTTTTGGGGTTTTTTTTCCCATAGGTAATCCACACAAAGGTACAAAAGCATTAGAGTAAAAACCAAATCTCTGTGTTGTCTTGAACCCTTTGGCTCTCTTTGGAGAATAATCACCCCTCATCAGTTTCTTTTGAATCTTCTTGGTCTGTGCATTTACAAATTCATATGTAATACTGTGCAGGCTGGGCATGGTGGTGCACGCCTGTAATCCAAGCACTCAGGAGGCTGAGGCAGGTGCATTGCTGGGAATTCGAGACCAGCCTGGGCTACAAAGTGAACTCAAAGCCAGCCTGAACTGCATAGTGAGATCCTGTCTCAAAAATACCAAAAAAAACCCCAAACAAACAAACAAACAAACAAAAAACCAAAAAAAACCCCATGTAATACTGTGTATCCTCTTGTGTTGGTTTGGGGCTTATTTTGCAAAGGGGAACAATATATAATACAAGACACATACTTTATAAGATTATTTATAATAGTCACCCACAGAATGATATACAAAAGAGTACAGGAAATCTGTCCACATACTATAGACCAGGAATCCATCTGAGGGCCTGGATCCCACAGAAATGTCCTGCATGAGTCCAGCTGCAGACCTAGAGCCCATGATAATGCCTCCCACAAATCCAACTGGAGGCCCAGAGCCTGCGATAATGTCTCGTGCAGGCCTGTTTCATGGATCTGCGCTGGGAAGGCCCAAAGGTCAGTGGTGGAATCCAAGAAGTCTGTGCCAGCAGGATGAAGGATCTGTGCTAGCAGGCTGAGGGATCTGCATGGAGCCAGGAAGCAACGCACAAAGTAGGAACCAGAGCTCCCCTGCAAAGTACCACAGCCATCCTCAGCAACAGTGAGGTCCCAAACTCCTCCAGTGGTGAAGACAGCTGAGTTCCCATCAGGAAAGCCAATGCAGCAAGCTTCTCCAGGAGACTGGCAGCGCACCATCTTTCCCTCCGGAGCCAGGAAGTGATGCTCAAGGTGAGGACCAGAGCTCCCCCAAACTAACCAGAGCTATTCTCAGTGCCAAGGTCCTGAGCTCCTTGAAGGATGAAAACAGCTAAGTTCATCAGGAAAGCCAGCATGACGAGCTCCTCCAACAGAACCAACAGCTCCTTACAGCCTCCGCCAGCTCCCAACAGCCTAACTTCTCCTCCAGTTCTGCCTCTTATGCTACTGGCGACAATCCCCAGGTGGGCCTCCCACACCCAGCACCAGGCTTACTCAGTTCAGCTGGGGGTTATAAATTGACACCAGTTGTCAATCCACTACATCTCTTATTCCCAGATTCAAATAGAACCATGTACCCTATCAGCGGTGGCGAACCTACGGCACACCTGCCACAGGGCGCTGTGTGTATCACTGAAGACTCTCAAAGGTTCACCACCACTGCTATATGTGCCAACCCGCATCTTGCCTTTGTCCTCACCTTTATTCTTGGAGACCTTTCCCTGCAAG